AATAAATAAAGCGCCCTTTTTTTTACTCCACGAAGTCTGAGTCACTGTGTCCGTCCTCGCCGAACCCGAAATCGCTACAGTACACTACCAGTCTTCAAGAATCAGGCATCATTCGGAAACCACAAGGCACAGAGGGAATCAAGTGAAATATAAAACATTGACTGGGAGGGAGATACTGACCCTCAGTCTTATTCTCACAGGCTTGAGTACTCAGAGCTCATCACAGGCCTCTGGGAAAGCAGTAGTGATCCATACCCCTGCCACCCCACGAGTGTTGTGCAGTGAAATCCCTGCCTGTAAGCTCCCAGAGAGTCCACCTCCGTCACACACCTGCATAGTTTGTTCCAGACATCCACCACTCTCTGTGTAAACAGTTACTGTACCTCCCAATTTTATGGGTGGTTTCTGATTTAGCTACTGGTTTCGCTTTGGCTTTCTGAAAAGACAGGACAGCTATTCAATCCTTTTTTTTAATCCCAAATGAAAAATTTGCTCCACTCCAGTTGGCTACACCAAAAATCAGTCCAGCTAATTCTGCCAGTTGAATGCCTCCATATATTTGACACCTTTTTATCACCTGAAGCGAATACCAGATGCAAACGAGATTATGAGGACAGAACCCTGAACATCCGCAGTTCCGAATCGGACTTTCGCCGGACCGGACCCTGTCCCTCGCTGTGCCTAAAGAGAGCTGAGCGTTGGAATGCTGACCATCTGGGAAGCTCTGAGAAACTCGCATCACAAAGATGGGGATTTCAGCCATTTATGATTACAAAATAACCACAGGGAGACACATGGCTGTCAGCTGTTGTTTTGTTTATAACAGCCTTTTATTTTTATTTTATTTTGGGGAATTTTTGCTTTGCATGGCTGATCTCTAACAAGCTTCTGTTTTGGGACAAAAGGCCCTCTCTTTTTCTCACAGCACAGAATTCAGGCATCTGTCGCTATGGAAACGTGGCCTAACTGGCGCAGGCCCTTTGTTTAGCTGGGACACAATTGACAAAGCACAAGTCTTTGTGGACTTTTCATTTTCCTTTCTTTTATGTGTTTATTTTGTTCTGGTCTGTTCTGAAAGGAGGTATGCAGCAACTGAATTAGCAGGAAGAGCTACACTTCGAGTGGAATTCTGAGAATTTGGAAAATGTTTTTCCAAACAACAATTACTGTTACTGTCCAAAAACAAACAAGAGCAAGTGAAATGAGAAGACAGAATCTCTGGTTCTCTGTGGTTATATATTTTTTTCTTCCTTTCTGCTTTGAAGTATTTTTACAGAAGCAAAAGAGCTACACAAATCAACTACAGTACATGGAACCAGTCAACAATAGATAGATAATACTTTATTAATCCCGTAGGGAAATTGATGTGTTACAGCAGTCCAGCCCAAGACAAGCAAAAACAGCGGTCTCATCTAGTATTTTCTTGAAGAAAGCCAGGGTATCTGCCTTAACAACAAATCAACATGTCCAATACGATTGGACGGTTTACTCCACACTCCTGCAACTTGTTGTGTACAGATATGATTCCTCTTCTCCGTTTCAAATGCCCTTACAAGTAATTTCCACTGCAGTGCTTTGGTTTGTGTTTCCATGTTGAATCTGAAGAAGTCCACTGAGCCAACTTTGTCATTGCCTTTAAGAATTTTAAATACTCACATATTTATCCTTTTGCTTCAAACCAATATAGGAGGTTCACAACATGAGCAAATTATGGTGTTTGTGTGCTAAGATTATAGCAAATGCAGTCTAGGAGAATGTAACTCACACAACTCACTAGCTATACAGCTACTGTTGGGGGTGAAGCTGGACTTCAATACAAGTTGAAATAGCTTCAAAATAAGTTCAAAATTCACTCCATTTGGCAGCTTCACATCATATGGAAGAAACATCCTGTTTGTGACATCTGCAGCACATGTGCAGGGTATATAATATGCCTTCTGCAGTATTTTGAGGTGTAGAAGTTTAAGCCGCTGGAAGAGGTGTTCGTGGGGCCAGCAGGGGGCGCTCACCCTGCGGTCCATGTGGGTCCTAATGCCCCAGTATAGTGACGGGGACACTATACTGTAAGCAGGTGCCGTCCTTCGGATGAGACGTAAAACCGAGGTCCTGACTCTCTGTGGTCATTAAAAATCCCAGGGCGTTTCTCAAAAAGAGTAGGGGTGTAACCCTGGTGTCCTGGGCAAATTTCCCCCTGGCCCTTACCAGTCATGGCTTCCTAATAATCCCCCTCTTTGAATTGGCTTCATTACTCCGAATAATGAATAATGAAGAAACTGTGCTCCGTGCCCTCCCTGTTTCTTGCTGCCCAGGGGAGTGCGTGCTGCAGAGGGCAGTGCTGGTGAAGAAGAAGCTGTGGGAGGCAGGTGGGGACAGCAGTCTGGTGGGCACACTCTTCTGCACCCACTTCAGAGTGGCATTCCTGCCCGAGGACAGCCGGGTGGCTGAGGTGAGTGGAAGAGCCCCACTGCAGCTCACTTACTGCACATCGTCTGGTATATCCCTTTGTGACATCTTGTCTTGCCCTGTACTGTATTTCTTATTCTCAGTTTTTGACTTTAGATTACCATCGCTTTTTGTGCTGGCACCTTATGTACACCAACCTGTGTGTGATTCTTCATTGCACTAACCCCAAATATTTTATACAGATCATCTTAGGTCAACTAATTACCTAATTGGCTCCCCAGATGATCTCTTGAATACTAGGGATTATTAGGAATAGACCTAATGAAATGTAGAAGTGGCTAACACAGGCGAACTTAGAAAACCAGAGACCTGTCCGTACAGAGCTTATTACTATTACTCTCCCTTCTCCAACCTGGACAAAAGACCCGTGGTGTAGAAACACAGACAGCAAAAAAAGCAGGTGTTATGCGCTGATATTAATAAGCAACGTGAATATTTTATTTCTGAAATTCATTGCAAATGATCAGTATGCTGATGTCTGTGAAAGAGCCGTACACTCTAAGTATTTGGACATGTTTGATCAAGCATGTCCATGAGCAAAAAGCTCATTAGATATAGGCTGGGAGGAAACACACTATGCCGTGTGGTAATGCATCTCCATTTTTAGACTTAATTTTTATACAGTGATATCACTGAAGCCCATCTGCTATGTTTTAGTTGAAAGCTCCTATGATGATAGCATGATGTAACATTTAGAACAATTACATACAGTATAATTCACATGCCCTCATATCTTGATCAGAAACCCAAGTTTAAAAAATCCTTTAAAAACCTGATTTCTGGAGAAAGCTCCAAAGGAGAATCCAGTAACCTAGTTTTCCTGAGTCTGTTCAAAGTGATTTATGCTGAACTCCATCCACACAGAATTTTCTCCTGTGCCAGGCATACTGTATCTTTCAGAAATCCCCCTGATATGCTTCCTCCTGCTCGCTGTTTAAGCCTGTATCTCTCTCCCTCTTCAGGACAGCTCCGATCCTGTGCTCCTTGGAGAACATGACATAGCCCTGGCATCCATAGAGAAAGTAGTGGCTGGTGAGACTCCTCTAAAACCACACCTTTACTCTGGTCTATAATCTACGTGATGTCCCACTCTTTTGTTTGTTAGTATATTGTGTATTATTTATTATATTGGTGTTTATATACTGATGGGAAAGAGGAACGCAACACCTCCTCCACACTCTGGCCCTCCCGTCTGCATAGAAAAGGCTGAAGAGTGACTCGTCTGTGAAGAGGACCTGATGCCACTGCTGACGCAGCCTCTGTCTGGCCCAAGCCAGTCGGGTGTGACGTCTAGGCGGTGTGAGCAGAGGGCCTCTGACAGGTCGCCTTGCTCTAAGGCCAGCAGCATGGAGCCTCACTGTCCTGTCACTGGTGGGGGCATTGTGTCTGTTGGCAGCTTCAGCAGGAGTACGGGGGGCAGATCTGAAACGATCTCTCAGATGGACCAGTCTGATGTGTCGGTCCTGCTTTGGTGTGGTCACTCGAGGGCGACCGGATCTTGGACGGTCATCTGTCCTGCCGGTCTGCTGAAACCTTCTCTGTCGGGACACAGTGGAGCGGCTCACTCCATAGTGTCTGGCAACGCTGGCACATGACAGGCCTGCCTGCAGCATGCCAATGGCCCTCTCCTTTGCTTCTGACGACATTCGAGGCATTATGGAATGCACAGCAATTGGCCTTTTTCTTGCAGTGACCTAAGCTTTGAATTAAGGGCTTTTTAAAGGTGACATGATCAGGCATTGTTCCACCTGGACCTCGTTGGGTAAAAGTGCACCTAACGAGCTTTTGTGTGACTGGCAAGTTGCAATGCTTCACTGCACAAGCTGTATTGCTGGTCAGGGGGCTTAAAACAAATTGACAACTTTTTGTGAAAGTACATAAGCTATAACTATAGTATTCTCATTCCAGAAAATGTTGCGTTCTTTTTTCCATCAGTATAATTACTTACTTCACCATAAGATGCTAATTGACAAAACATGGTACTTTGCATATGGATGAGTTGGAACACACAAGGGAAAAGCTCGCTTAATTTTGTAATTTGTAGAGTTTAGTGTTTTAACACTAGATTAACAGAATTGGGCGAAGCTATATTTAAAGGGATAAGTACTTTGTAATAATTCCCCATGTCAATTATTTCAGTTTCTCCTACTGACATTTTAATTGGTTTCTCCCAATAATAGGGAATATACGATAGATTAGTAGAGAAATATATATACAGTAGTACCTGAAGAAGGCTCCACGGCCGGAACCGTTTGTTCTCTTTCTTCTTTTTTTCAGCATGGAATAAATTACTTGTTCCTTTGCAGCCTACTCATGCTGACGCAGCTACCCACCTGAACTACTATATACAGTAGTAATATATATATAGTATATAATATAGTATAATAGTTTAGTATAATATAATATATATAGTATTATGGCAGCAGGGTGACAGTAGTTAACTTTGATCCTTGACTTTTGACCCTGGATTCAGTTCCTGTGGTATTACAGCAGCAATAACCCTACTTGAACTTTTATCACATTTTACTGTGTTACAATACAAAATTATAATTTAACTGGGATTTTTTGCTCTTGACCAACACAAAATACTGTCAAAGTGAAAACAAGATTGTACAGATCCTCCTATATTAATCAGAAATAGAAAATAACTGATTGCATATCCAGTGGCCCCCAGTTTATTCATAACACTGATGAAATAGAAACAGAGTATCGTGAAACAAAGATGTCCAGATTGGATGATGCATCTGGCTTAAAAGTTTCCACTATGTTGTTTTACTTTGTCATAATTAAAGTACAGAAGAGGTTTATACACACTCTTGTAGTCTGTATTTGGTGAATCCTTCTGTAATAAGAGTTCCACTGTAATGGACGCTTGGGCCTCTTGGCAGAGCAGAGGGAACCAAGTGTTTGGTACCTGTTAGAGTTCAGTGATTTCCCCTGTATTAACAAGGGCTGCTGGAGCCATAGATGCAAACCAACCCCAGAACATCACAGACCCCCAACCTTCAACACCAGTGTACTTCACAGTGAGCATGAGTATTGTTTAATGTGAACGTCATCTTTTTTCCTCCAAACGCAATGCTGATGAGCTTGTCCAAGTCATTTGACCATTGTTTCAGTTGTCATTCAGATGTAGTTTCA